GAATCTCATTTGCTATGTTAGTCAGTTAGTTGCGTCGATTCTATTTCAGAAAAAGTATTTATGAGTATTATGAATATTTATATATTCGAAGTGTAATATAAAAATACGTTAAAGGTTTCAGTATATATCTTCTTTTGTTTCTATTCGAGGGCCACTTTTTGAGGGACATGTACTGTAAGTGTCACCTAAGGGGGCACATGACAGACGTGTCTGTTCGGGTAGGTATGGATGAGGAGCCCATGCGGGCAAGTGAGGCCGGTGTGCACTCACAAATACATTTCATGAAAAGAAAACAAACTGCAACGTTTTTGAATTGATCAAAAATGCTACTTCAAAAAGAGCCCGAAACAACATGATTTAAAGAATAAAGTAACAAACACTAGGATAAAACGACTCGACTTAGCCCGACTTGACAACTGAGAAAACCAAAATGAACGAAACAATATGTGACTAGGACAATGAACCAACAAAGATTAAAAGGAAACTAAATACAAACAAACGGATGAGACAATGAGGAGAACCTGGACAAGACTAAACTGGCTGAGGGAGTTGACACAAGGGAACGCATGGACAAGCACAAGTGGACACAATAAAACTTCACAAGACAGACAGTGACAAAAAGGGAACCGGGAAAACTTAACCAAACTAAACTCATCAAAACCAATTCAAACCCAGATCATGACAAGGGCCCTATAAAACAAAAATCTATTTTCGGTTAGCGAAGTGGGTGGCCCAGTGACTCTGAATAATTAAAATACTAATAATAATAAGTATGTGTGTACCCAGTCATGACCATAACAAGGACAAGCGGTATAGAATCCGGATATAAATGATGAATGTGAAATATAATGACATTAAATCGCACAATAATGGGGTCACACCCAGAAAGTCTCCTGCTTTTGGTCCGAACAAGGTTTGTAATGTCAGCAAGTAGGTGGCGGCGGGACGCTAACTGCTCATTTCCCGTAATGGTTTTAAAAAGAGAAAAAAGTGCCTTCCACCGTAAAACAATAATTCTCATGCAAGACAATGCACCAATCCTCACTATAGAAAAGCTGCGGCTGCAACGGGGAAAACGGCAGAACATCATTAAAAGGAAAATATATGAGGTAGGATGGCAGTATTTTTCCCAGCAGCGACTATGGCAGCCAATTCTTGCACCCTTAAAAGATATACAGGCCGAAACAAAAACCTAAACTTGAATTTCAATGGATGAAAGCGTTGTTAAGGGGATATCAAAGAGAGGCTTTTGAAGCTACATGTGAATACTGATGAGACGGTTTGGTCTCCTTGCCAGTGTCTAACGACTAATGAGTCCGACCACTGACACAGATGTTTTTTCTTAGAAATCAGGTTGTTTTCCTCCACCTTAAATTATCATGACAGAAATCTAACAAGTTGTTTACATCCTCTTTGTTTTTGATTTTTTTTTTTTTATAACTGTTGAAATTACTAATTTGAAATATTGTGCGAAATTTTCCCCTCCAGCCCCCAAAAAATAGAACCGGTGATGATCAAAAATGTTATTCACTGGAAATGCCATTGGATAGTTTGGAAAATGAACCAGAGCATACATCATTTCTATGAAACACATTTTTATTTTATTGTTACAGCCATGGCAAAAGAATTAAGAGACCACCCTTTGTTTCTTCAATTTCCTGTTCATTTTAAACGACTCCAGTACAACCAAAGGTACATTTGTTTGGACCAAAATTTCAATGACAACAAGAACAGCTCATAAGAGTTTAATTCAAGAGCTTCTTCTTCTTCTTCTTTTCCTTACGCTTCTTGGTGCTATTCTGAGAGTGTTCATCCTCCCTGAGTGAACTCATGGTTGTCTGACAGCTGAGAAATTATTTTGTTACATTCTTTTAAATCCAAACCGCTGACATGCATGCATTCGTTGGAGAGCTTTGATTTGATGATTGATTGATTTGATGGCTAACGCTGCTCGCTGGCAACAGATAACCATAATGCTCAGGATTAAAATAGCTGTGGTGGCTGTCTTAACTTCAACTTTGCGAGTGGAGGCTGATCTGACCGCAGTGCTTAACTGAGCCGGCAATTTAATTTCATAATTTTCATGTGAAATGTATGCAAGAGGTACAGCAGAGTACGAGGAGGACCTTTGGAACAAAAGAGGGCCGTGTGCGTCAACGTCACCTCTTGTTCTTTTTTCCTTTTGGCTTTTCCCTTCAGGGGTCGCCACAGCGAATCAGTTGCCTCCTTCTAACCCTGTTTTGTGCATCAAGAGCTGATCGAGACATTTTACATAGGTTCTTTTGATAAAAACCAAATCAAATCTTACATCAATAACAATGATATTGTACAGCCAAAAACAGTGCTTTTTGGCTTTCCATGTTTTCCTTTGTGTCAATTAGTTCCTTGATGCACTTTTAGTGGCACCAGACATCAAAACGAACAAGCATTGAAGAAAACATGCTGGTCTCTTTTTTTTTCCTGGCTTTTGTTTGAAACTTCACCAAATCATGCGAGGGAAAATACTAACAGACTAAAACCACTTTTTTTTTCTCCGTTGTCATTTCTGTTGTTCAGGTGTCCACTTGCAACAGGCGGCAGTTTTCCCGTGACCGTGAACAGGAAGGTAAGATGGTATTAAAAATGGATGCTTAATATTACAGTACGACCAATAGTTTTGCATTGAATCTTCCTCTTCTGTTCGTGGTTCCTCCGGCTAACTGCACGTGATGGAGGTGCAAATGTAAGTGACAGTAATTTCTTCAAACCTGAATTGCCTCTGGGAGAGTAATAAATCCTTCAAATCTGAACACCATCTGGCGGAGCAAATAAATGTCGGATCTCAAAACGCTTTGATTAAGGTTCACTTTCACCAAACAGTCCTCAAAGCCACATAATTAAAAGTTCCCGACAACTTTTCATCAAAGTCGGCATGTCAGAAGCTCCAGCGGGGAGAGCAGACATGTCATCAAGAGAAAAGTAAGTCAAAAGTAGACAATTGAGGAACTAGAAACTTAACCGTCGCTGTGAATTTGTGAATTCTGAAGCAAGCAAATCCTGATATGTTCAGTCATATCACAAAACATTTGGAACACCTTAATATGGCTGACATGATTTTAGAAACATAGGAAAAATAGATCTATTTATTTTTGGGACAAACAATCAGTTACATACATTGTTATATTTTTTAAATGTTCTGGCACTCATATACAATTAAAGCTGGTTAGGGACACTTTTCCCAGCAATAAAATTGCCACCACCTGTGCCTATTACAGTGAACGAGCATCGAGCAATGTCTACATTTTCAACCCCCCAAATTTCCCTTATTTGATCAATAAGGGAATATTTAAATTTAAAAAAAAAAAGCAGATTGATGATTTCTTTGTGTTCATTTTAGAATCAATTCAATGAAAAACAACCAATTTTTAAAATTTATAATTTTAAGTGTTGGCCTACATATGACCTGTACAGTCAACAAAACAGGAACACTACAATAAAAAATCCACATCATCCATCCATCCATCCATCCATCCATCCATTTTCTGATCCGTTTATCCGCACAAAGGTCCCAGGGTGTGCTGGAGCCTATCCCAGCTGTCTTCGGGCAGTAGGCGAGGTACACCCTGACCTGGTTGCCAGGCAATCGCGGGGCACGCATAGACAAACAGCCGTTCACACTCACAATCACACCTCGAGATAATTTAGACTTGTTCCATTAACCTACCATGTATGTTTTTGGAATGTGGGGTGAATCCGGAGGACCCGGAGAAAACCCACACAGGGATGGGGTGAACATGCAAACTCCACACAGGAAGGCCGGAGCCAGAATCAAACCCTGCGCCTCTGCACTGACAGGCCGACGTGGTAAACACTCGTGCACCGCGCCACCCTTTTCAATTTTCATTCAAGTTAAAACTAAATCAAATGAAACAGAAACAGTTTACAGAGAATGGGACAGAAGCTTCAAGCTTCTCTATTAGTGCAGCCCCGCAACTTGACCACCGTTTTTAGAGGTCAGTCTGTCCATCACTGTGTTGATTGCAGTGGATTAGAAGCCCTGCAGTCAGTCTCATCCTGGCTCAAAAACAAAGGATACGCCCTTTGTAGCGCGCCCAACTGCCGCATATCCTGGATTTGATTGGAAAAAAAGATCGTTATTGTTTTGTTTTGTTTTTTAATGACTTGTTTTGAAAAATTCACATGATGGGCATGTGTTGATTTATGCCTGAGATCTGACAAATTACTGAGGGATGTTTATGTTCGGGTTGGAAATATAGTGTCATTGAATCAAACCAACAAATGACAGTAAGTGCCTTTGAGGGGAGAAAACAAAGATACAATTCATTTATGCAAAGATCACAATGAATAAAGCCCATATTTATAATCAGAGAAATAAAAATTCGAAAATGAGCACGTGCTGATAATTTTTGTAAAATGATTGCTTTTGTCACTCTCCCTTATTTTCTGTTTTTTCCCCAAAGGGGACTTTTTGTTACTTTGTTTTTTTCCTGATCTTCATCCTTCAGCTAAATGTACTCCGAACAAACCGATTGAGTGGAAGTAGTAGTTCAAAACCAGAACCAAAATGTATGGATTTTCTTTGATGTTATTTATTTTACGTTGCATTGTTGTTGGGCATCTCACTTGCCAAACATGCAATTTTTGCATTTGATTCACTCACAACAGCTCTTTACGGTTACAGTTTTAAGATACAGTAACAGACTGCCTGATAGTCCAATGTGTTCTTTTGTCTGCCCTTGACCTATGTCATCAGAAATTCTCAATACAACACTCATAGTTTTTCAAACCTCCTTTATTCAATTTTTTTGTATTTTCTTTCTTTCTTATTTCGTCCATCAGCACCCACCAACATTATTTTCAACGTTCCCTTCTTCGCTGTTGTTTTTCTTCTTTTCATGTAGATTTTGTTGATTTATTTATTTAGTTACATATATTTTTAGAGACCAAATTAACAATTTCATGCACCCTGTAACCCACTGGTGTCAAACTCAAGGCCCGGG